TAACCGTGAAAGATAATACCACTATTTGTTCCAAAACCAAAAATGTTATGATATAAGAAGATAAACGAAAATTGTTACCCGTGATCAAATTGACATATTATTGAATTTATTATCATATTATAATGATAGACTAGTAATTTATATTCTTCATTATTTATACAATACATATTTTAAATAAATCAATGTATTACATTAAAAAAAAAAAATATGAGCCATGGGGGTGGCGAATATCCCCTTCGCCCCCTCCCCTCAAATACGCCCTTATATTCACTTAAGAAACGCAATGGATGGGACTTACAATGGATGGAAACGCTTTACACGAAAGGTTTATTTTTATGTGGTAAAAATCAAATATCAAGAAATAAATTATAGTACAGATGGAGACAAACAAAGTGTAGTGTATGGTAATATGTTTTCATGTGTTACTATAGTTTGAAAGGCTGAACAAATGACAGAGACCCAAATCTTATTGTGATCAGGTTAGGCAGTGGTAGAAATCCAAATTTATTATTATATTATGACTGAAATGGCCATGTCGACTAACAACGACTGAACAACAGCGTGACGATAAAAGATTTTTTTTTTTCCATAACTCCTACCCACTGACAAAAATATGTGACCTAAATCCTAGGTACGATAAATATGTATAAGTAATATATTTTCCTCAGATACATTATCGGCGACTGTTGTGTTTTGGTGAAAAAAAGGACGTCACGCCACACGTGACTTAGCCTGTTAGCATTTTAAGTACCCACCAGACATGGCTGTTTGAATAATACTTTACTATAATAATATAGAAATAACTACACCATTAATAATAATTGTTATAAATTATAAAAAACGATCATACCAAGTCGACGTGACGCAAAGTCTTATATCAAGTTCTCTTTACGACACGATCGTAATCGGCTTAAATCAAAGTCGTATATAAGTACAACGATCCGAGTGTCATGATGAACGCGCCAACTAAATAACATTTTCTATCGGAATCAAAAAAAAAAAAAAAACCTTCGTTGAGTAATCCTTCTGGTCAAAATATTGCTGGCACAAAAAAATAAGAAATCAAAAACCACACTGATAAATCAAATATATACCATATATATATTTTACACTACATTCAAAACTCAAAATCTTAAAGGGATGAATTACTTAAAATGTTATTTTATATTTTATAATATAATATAATATAATAATATTATAATAATAATATTTTCATAATTTCTAACGAATACAATAAATTTACTACATATAAACAAAAATATAATTGTTCTAAGCTATAAAATATAAGCTTAAATAATATTTATTTAATAATATAATCCTTTTTTTGTTTTTTTAACATTTTGTTTATATTGATGTTATTATTTTATCGTATTATTGTTAATTGTAAAATAATCAACATACTTCTAATCGAAGGTTAGAAAGTAATTTACATCATATAGTCACACACGTTATTCGCAGTTTTTACGAGTATAAAGAAATATCCTCCAGAATAACAGTGTATTAAATTAATAATGATTAATTTATTAAATATCAGGGGATTTGCATGTATATTTGTTTAATACTTTATTCTTTTCTTTTGTTTTTTGTTAAATTTTTACAAAAAAATTATATTTATGTTTTTTATTTTGACTTCCATTTAAAATATTATAATTTTCTCGTCTCAAGTAAAACTAAAATAACGGAAAACACAATTTATTTGATTAAAAAGATCTTATTTAAACTGATACCAAGGGATACTTACTAATCAAGGAATTCATTACGAAAAACATAGTTTATAAATCGTGTTTATGATTAAGCTTTTTGTAAGAAAAATTATCAAAACTTTAATCTTAAAATTTGAATATTTTTATTTTTTTTTTATATCATATGGTTGACAGAGTTTTTATAAAATAAATCATTTTATAATTAATCAATAAAATATTTATTATATTAATATGAGTTTTTAAATAATATAATCACATTGGGAACAATATAAAGATGTACAAGTACGTTTTACATATATGGCAATAACATCTTATTTTTATAAATGTACTAATTATTTTTAACAATAAAATATTGATCTTGTAACGCTTTATTTTTATAAATAAATATTATATTTATATGAAAATATAATATTTTAAACGTATATTTTGAAAGAAAACTGAATAAAATAATATCCTACCACAAAAAATATGTATCTGTTTAAAAGGTAAAACAACTGTTTTAAAATTATTTAAATTAATTATTAAAATGATAAATTATTTTTTTTAAATTCTTTATTAAACAATATTTTATATAAAATTATATATACAACAATATTACCTCATAACTATTACCGTTCTTTAATTTGATAATAAAATAGATTTTAACTGTATTTTAAAATTAGACGCCATCATTTTTTAATTTTTTGGATTGGAATTTCAGTGAATTACGGATTAGATTAATTCTGACATAATTAAACTGTTATCATACGAATTTTTCATTTTCAACGTTATAAACTAAATTGAGTTTGTACAACAAAATCAAATTAGCAAGTTCATGATACTTTAAAAATTTGTTTTTGATTTATTTTTCTGGAAAAATCAATTAAAATGATAGTAGATACTTGATTTTTTACTTTAACCGATTTTAAATTTAAATAAAATATAAAAGTTCATTTTTATAAAGAATAATTTAATATTAGAATACGTTTGGGATAAATTTACAAGCCTCTGTCAAATATATATATATATATATCCATATTGTTTTTTAAAATGTCAGGTCAAACACTGAACTTGAAAGTAGTATTTTTCATGAATTGTGTTTTTAAATGTCAAAAAAATTAAGGCTCACAAAAACCACAAAAAAAACATGCTTTATCGAGTAAAAATAAAAATCATTGTTTACCAGATCTGTACTAAACAGTTTCCAAGTTCGTTGTAAGAATTAATTTACATTTAAAACATTATACACTACTTATATCTTGATGACAGTCATATACTATGATAGTATTTTACACATGTCTTATGTAATTTAGTACCCATCAAATTTTATTAAAAAAAATAATTAAATAAAACACTAATAACTTAACTTTAAATATTTGAAACTTTAGTAGTAAAATCGGTATAAAAATATTTATTTAAAATTTCAAAGTATCTAGTGTATGTTCATTATATATATATAAAAAAAAAAAAAACTATTACATTGACTATTTTTATGGTCAATATAATAGTTAATTAAACTTAAAAGTTATAACAAAAATATTAAGTTATGGTGTAATGATGTGCATTTTATAAATCTGCTAATCATCAAGTAGCATAATAATAATTTACAATAATTTACAATGTACTGTCAACTACAAACAACTTAAAAGTTATTACAGTAAACCTTGGAGTCTATGAAACGATTGCGAGTATAATATTTAAATATCAACCTAAAGTATATTATGTAGAGTTATAGACTTGATATTTTATTTATTTATTTAATTATTGTTTCTTTTTCATTGTATCAGTGGTTCTCAAACTGTGGTACACGTACCCTTTGTGGGTACTCCAGATTTTTTAAGGGGTACGAGTCAGGTCAATAAACCTTTAAATTTAAATTATTTATGTGGAAAGATTTATTCAAGTTCAAAAGTAATTATAGAAACAAGTTAAATGTTGAAGATGATTTAAGATTGTATATAACTAAATTATACTCAATATTGATCAACTTTGACAACAAAAACAAGTTAACCCTTCTCACTAATTTTTTTTGAAATTAAGCTCTTTTTATTTTTAATATTTTTTGTGTATTAGTTTTTAATGAAATAAAAATATAATTAAGTTTTTAAATTTTTTATATTTATTTTAGTTTTTCTAACTAAGAATAGGTCCCCATAAATTTTTATTGATAAAAAGGGTTACAGTGTTTATAAAAGTTTGAGGATTCCTGCATTATAAAATGGGTTACGTGATGACACTAAATTATTATTCTGTTTTTTTCAAATTAACTACCCACTTGTGCAGTGCATGTGAGCTATATATAGTAATGTGTACGTATAACAAATTCAAGAATTATCCCTAGATAAATATTTGTTTTCTGTTGATTGACATTTTAAATCGAACAAAGAACCTCGTTGACAAAATCACTAGGTACTAAATAACTAATTGAAGTGCAGTCAACGGAAGGTAAGATATAATATTTCTTAAGAAGTATGTAAATAAATGCCACTGGATTGATATTGATGAATACCACTAAAGTTTCATCGAAAAGCCAAAAAACAATATGTATACCATTACATCGTATATACACAGATATTATTTAGGGCGGATACCCTTTAATCATGTCCATCCTCAATGGTCAATGTATCACTATCGGTGTAGTAGTTGCAGTATATTCATTATCGCCCCGGACTTGAATTATACCAGTCATATTGATATTACTTGTCGACGAAAACTACAAAAGACTAGTGACGCTAACAGTGCCACTACCTTTGTTAAAGTTGATTTTAATATTGATCCATTTAAACAGAAATACAAATTAAAATACGTATATTCGGCACAAGTTTAAAACGGTATGGGCTACTATCATGTTACACAGTTCGTGCCAACCTGAGTTATCAAACTCGTAGATTTAAAATAAATCGATTTGGTTTTTATCTTTAGACCTATATTGGGAACCACATAACCGTAAAAAAATTATACTCAAATACCAAACAAAAATTTTCAATTTCAATTTTTGTTTCAAAATTTTGTGTAATAATAACTACTTGTCGGGAAAGTAACCACGGAACATCGCTAATGAATAGAGACTACATCACGTAGTTGTCAAACTAAGTGCCGGAAACATTCTGCCACGATCATTTAAATACAACTAAATAGGTTACCCGATGAACAAAAAAAGATAATGTCTTAATTGTTTAATCATGTCTGAGACATGAGCCGTGGACATTTCGTTCCGTTTTCCTACAAAAGGTTTAAAAAGTACTACGCTATAAATAATTAGGCACCGTGATAAATACTGAATGGTCACATTGTCACATCATAAAAATGTATACTCACGTTCGCGTAAAACAGGCGCAGACTGTTTGAATTGATTTTCAATCTTTGCATTGCAACCTGTGAACAAATAATCAATAAATAAGAACTAAAATAGTTATTATAGTATAACACCATAAATATCATTATTGAAATAAGGCTCAGCGTGGAACATTTTTTAAGTGCGAGATACATCAGTAGAACTCACGAGTGGCATATTTTGAGATGGTGGTGAAAAACTGAAAAGGGAATCGTTGTCAAACACAATATTAACACCTTAAAATAATCGAATGTCTTTATGTTTTTTTTTTAGTATCTTTCATTTGCCTCGATATTACAGTCATACGGTGGCAACTACAATACTCTCAAGTTATTAAAATTCACTTTTGATACACGTACCACAATATTTTTTACGCGTGATAACTCAACTATATAATATTAAGTTTAAGAAAAATTATATTTAAATATTTTATAGAAACATAAAAGTAATGTAAACGTGAAAGCATATAATGATATCGATTAAAACTTGTATTTTTGATTCAATATTTAATATTACAATAAGAGTCTTTCCTCAGGTTATCGTTCATCACTTGTAACTACGATAGATTATAATCAAATAAGTTGTAATAATCTAATAGACTTGTAACGATGAAATCTTCTTTTAATTATTTCATAAAAAATAATTTAATAATAAATTGTTATAAAATTACTTTATTTTAATAAATAAAGAATAATATATAAAAATGCATAAATTGCAAAAGATGAAAGTACATTCAATACGGTTTGTAATTATATTAAATTAAAAAATATTACGAGTTGTAGCTCTATTGCCATTACATTATTACTATGTCTTGTCTAAATACAGTATTTTTACCTTTAAGACAACCAATGAGAAATTAAATTTCAATTTGAAGCATAACATACAATCAATAACGTTACTGTTTGTTACTTCTTATTCTTTTACAAGCAAATATTATTCAATAAGTAATAATAACTAACCGCAACCCGAGTCCTTAACTACTAATAATAGTTCAAAAATATTTTTGTAAATATGAAGTAGCATAACATTAATAAATGTATGTCTATACATAAGGCAGTTAAAAAAAATATCTACATCAACCAATTTTTTTCATTTTGTAATATTTAAAAGAAACCTCTACATAAATTTACTTAGAATTCACCGATTGATACGGTATATTTTAGTTTTGAGGTTCAGAAACTAGACGATGGATTATTAATATCAGAACTAAATGTCACGTGTCACATTAAACAAATTAATTCTACAATATTCATACTTATATTATATTATATATAATATACTTTTTCTATGAATAACGATTTAATTTCATCCCTTAAGAGAGTACCGAGAATGGGTAAAAGTCAGCTATCGCACATTTGCATCAGCTATAGCGATAATGCCAATATTGATGGTATATTTTTAAATTAAATATATAACATAATTCTATAAAATCATCCCTTGAATTTATACATGTATGATAGGTACTGTTTACTGTCTCCAAGCTTGCAATAAAGTTCTAGCCATTGCCATTTTTTTTTTCCTTCGCTAACAGATTGACCGATCACATACTCGTATCTATACTAGACACTATCTTAAAGTTTTAACTTAAAATACCTGTAATATGACTGAAATCTAATTAAATACAGTGTTCGAAGATGTATGGAAATTGTAACTGGTCATTCAACAAGACAATACCGTTTGATAATACGAGTTCGTGCGTCGTGAATGTTTGTGTGTGTGAATGTGTACAGTTCTTTTATAATAATAATAGTTAAACGTCAGCATATGTGCACCAAATGCCACAGTGGCACAATAATGGCACTTCCCAAGCGCAAGTTATTTCTGGAATTCATTTGAAACAATTCAAAACGTAATTCTGTAGCAGCAGTAGCAACAGAAACCCGATTACACACAAAGTTTTTATATTTTCTTTTTTTTTCATGTACATCGTATTGTATCTACATAAGTTAAAATTGTATTTAACAAAAATGTATGTGTGTGCGTGCATGCCACGAGTAATTGTATGTGTGTGCTTGCATGCCATGAGTCATTGTATGCGTGTGGGACTATCCACTGTCTAGATTCCTGCAAGATATGAAAAAATACGAATGTATTGTGCTCGATAAATTCCCGCAAAGCGATACTGGGTGGATTAGGTGTGTCACGAACCGAGTTGCAAGCGATTTTCAGTAACATTTTACAAAACATTCCTCACTAAAAACAGTGTTTATGTACGCGTTCTATAAAATATAGCAACTAAACGTGCACGGCGAGGTGTACACCGAGTGAATAATATGTTCTCACATTTGAAAAACAAAACTGACTAATTCACAACAACAACAAAAGATAATTTAATAATAATTTTTACTTTTTAGATGAATATATTTATCATATTTCATAATTTTTAAAACCACGCAGAATATTCTTCATTTCGTTCACCGATTCCTCTACCACTAGGACGTCCTAGGTGTTATATTGTCTGTTACATTAAGATATTATCTTTTCGGAACAATTTGACAATTATCCAACATTTTACTTATTCTTATTCTTAAATACTCAAATAACTAAACATCAATTAACAATTTCACTTACAGATAAATTATTGCCAAATTTTATCTGAATACTCCAAATATTTAATTTATTTTAAGACTCATCTTTATATAATACAGATTATTTAACTATATAATACGAATTATTGAAATTGTACTCTTGGAATTAATACGATATTGTAGACGTCATACTTATCAATCATTAGAATGTTTTTTATAATTATTTTGTCGTACGGTTTCTAAATTGTATTTTTATTGTCAAGTATAATTTTTAAAACAAAAATGCATATATTGTAAGTATCTACGATAATGATTCATAAAAACGTGTATGGTTATTAGATGTTCAAGATAGATTGTTTATTTAATGCGCCTAGAAATCGCAATGCATGTTGAGCTTACAATTATTATTGAATTTAGTCTTTTTAACATATAAATTAATATAAAATACGAAAAAAACTTAAAATAATAATAATTACCTAACCCCTATTCAAAAAGTGATAAATTTAAAAACTAATGAAACAAATGCAAAGTTTGGATTCATTTAACCCAAAATATTTAATTTTGTTTATTTCACATTTTTATGAAACAAAATAAAATTGGTGTAAATTGATCCAAGATAAAAAGACAATTCAGCGTGTCGTTTAAAATATACTGATACACTGATATGCGTGTTTATTAAATTATTATATTTTACCTATTTAAATTTAAATATTTTATTACATATTCCTAGCAATATTTACGAGCATTTTCTTGAATATGTAATTTTATTCATTCTGCACATAATATACATATGTTTGTTAATATTAATGAAACATATATAACGCTTTATATGCATTTACACGTATTTTTTTTCATACGAATGAAGTGTTAAATAGCATAAAACGCGTCAAATATAATATTTAATACGGATATAATATCACATTTTCGTTCCATTCGACTGTATGTATACTATACATAATTTTGTTGGAAAGGTATAATATTTCTTTTCCCACAGCCAAACGACTGATGTTAAATTCGACAGATTTTTATTCGAGGATTTTATACTCAATGGAAATATTTAATTCGTTAAACTTATTTGATTTTTTTTTTACCGCACGCACGATAAAGTTATATGGTAAATATTTTTTTTTTTCCAGTCCGTTTCACTTTTTTATCATTACTGTTGAGGCAGTAAATATATTCGACTTTTAACTGACAGCGGCTTTCAGGCCGAGCAAAGCGAACATTTACCAGTACTTTCTGTAAACAAAATGCACGTTTGTTTTTTTCCTGTGCACGTAGTATCTATACATTAAAATATTGTATGTATGGATGTTGTATACGTTTTTATATCGTGAATAAAAAAAAAAAACCTAGAGATTTAACCTTTTGTCCCAGAGTGCCCAATAAAAACCCTAAACCTACGTGGGTGCACCCGTCGTCCGCTGTATATGTATATTCTCTCTAAATCAAATTATAATCATCATGTAATCCGTGGACCATATTTTGTAGCTGGAAACGGATTTGCAATATTTTTGTGTTTGCTGATGAGCACAGAGGGTTATACTGTTCCGGCGTTAGTGTGATGTGAATAAAACAAAACGCATGATTTAAAAATAGAACAAAACCATAGTTGAATTCGACGATACGTATGTGTATTTGTGTGTGTGTGTGTGTGTGTGTGTGTGTGTGTGTGTGTATTATAATATTCACATTTTATTGTAAATGTGCATGGTCGAAGTAACAAATAGTTATAATAATCACATTGTTATGAGCATTATTAATTTAGCATTATAAATATTATATGGTAAGAAAATGCTTGGTACTTTGGCATATTGACGAATTTGGTATACCCCACTTTATTAAGTTAATTAGGGTCAAATTTAAATTATATTCTCTTTTAATTATTATAAGTTATTAAATAAACTTACTTGTGAAAGAATATATCAAGTATATTATACGGATATTTATGTGTTATGAGCTCATATATAAATATATATATATATATATATATATATATATATAATAAATAATATACTACAATTTTCAGTTAAAGTTTAAATCAATATTTTCGATTAAAAATAAAGATCAGGTATATTTGAAACTCTATGAATTATGTTTCCAAAAAAAAATTCTTTTTGAGAGATAAAATAAAAAAAAAAATAAAAAAAAAATCTAACAAACATATAAATATATTTTTTATGATTTGTTTAAATAATACATATCAACATTATCTTTATTCAATTATATATATTATTATTTATTGAATAGTATAAATATATTATATTTTTAATATTTATGAATTATTATAAATATATTTAAAAAAAATAAAAACAAGAAAATTTTGTTAAAAATGATAAAACTTAAATAAATAATTCGGCTTATTCAGTTCTTGAAATTAAAATGTTTTCATCTAAGCACATAATAATTTAAATTATATTATTAAATAAATAAAACTAACCCACTTAACATACTATTTTTCTGATTTATTTTTATTTTTTCCGTGAACGTTATCGAAATACATCCATGTTATG